AGCCAGTATTAGAAATAAAATAATAGAAATTAAATGTAGAATTAGAAATAAAATAAAATCAGAGCCTCTTTTGTGTGCTAGAACTCTGCCTAGTTCTTACATTTCACAGCAACCTATGAGCTGAGATGAAGACACTTTGATCCCAAGCAAATCTAAGTGTACCTCACTTCCTAATTCAATTTAAAGATGTCTTATGGCTACACTATTCCCAGATACCATTGTGTTACAGTATTTATATAACCACAAACATCTCTAAAATGACAACTATTGTTTTTTTTTTTTGTACTGGGGATCGAAATCGGGCCCTTGCGCTTGCTCAGCAGGCGCCGAAACCACTGAGCTAAATCCTCGGCCCACTATCGTGTATTTTTAAATAAGTTATGGGCAATGTAATTTTCTGGATTTTTTTCTTTCTTGGAGGCAGGAAATTATCTTTATGTATTGATGCAATTATATATATATAGACAATTCAGTTAATGTCTATAGTTTACCAGGATTGTTATATTCACAGTTGGTGAGCAAAAGTCAGTTGTATTCTTGTAAATGAAAGTTTTTTGACAGTTGAATAAAAATATTGATATACCTAAAAAAAAACCCAAAAAACAGTGGGCTGATTAAATAAATAACAATGTATACACACACAATGGAGTACTGCGTAATTATAAAAATGAGCAAGCTTTCTAATTACTGTTTTGGAAGTAGCTATAATACTACATTTAATAAGAAATTTTCAGAACAATGTGTGTAGTATGCTACTTTTTGGCTAAACATTAAAAAAAAAAACTATAGCTTTGGATATATATGTAATAGTTTAAAAAATATAAGAGCAAACTGGGCATGGTGGCACATGCCTGTAATCCTAGCACTTGGGAGGCTGAGGCAGGAGGATCAACACTAGTTCAAGGCCAGGCTGGGTTACACAGGAGTTCAAAACCGCCTGAACTACACAGCAAGACTCTGTCTCAAACAAAAACAAAACAAAGCAAACAAAACCAAAAAATTTAAGAACGGGGTGGGAAATTGGTCCTTGAGTAATAAGCAGTAGATGAAACTTTCTACTGTCTACTTTTTATATTTTCTGGGTGTTTTGTTTTTGTTTTACAGTACTGGGGACTGAACACAGGGTCTCCACACTGAGCTACATCTCCAGTCCTATTTAGAGACACAGTCTTATTAAATTGCTAAGTTGCTTAGTCTGGACTTCAACTTTTGATCCTCCTGCCTCAGTCTCCCAGAGTACTAGAATTACAGGTGTGTGCCACCATACCTGGCTATTATTATATCCTCTTATAAGTAATGATGTAATGAATCTGTTTATACATGTATATATTTTTTAATGTAGGGTAAATCTTCAAAAGTGAAATTATCTTTCAAAGGGTATAAACCTTTTCAGAAGCCTGCTATATATGTTTTCCAAAATAATTGTTGCCAGTAGAAATCTTAAAATCTAGATTAATGGAAATATTACAAGTACTGTTGGATATTTAAAAATTTTTTTTGCTAATAGCCAAATTTGAATCTGCTTGTGCATTTCTTTTGCAACTAGTGAAGGTGAACATTGTTTTATTTGTGTGTTGACCAGTTCAGTTCCTCCCCAAGAATTTTTTCAAGTTCTTTGAAATCACAGATGTTTATATATTATATACATGTATGTACATATTTTTTATCCGCAAGTGTTATGCCTTGCCTATTATTTACATTGAAAATATTTTCCCTCTGTCACCTGTACCTTTATTATTGCATTTTAGTGTTAAATTTTTATGTATTCATAAATATGTATTTACATATTTTGACACTAGTCCCTT